CCCCCCCCCCCCCCCCCCCAGCCAATGCTGCTTACATAGCGTATCCAGCCTAGCTCCCTTCTTTTTCTGCTTTGTGCACTGTTTGGGCACCCCTCTCCCTCTGTCCCTCTCCATGGAACCACAGGCAGCCTGGTTCCCTCCTTCTCCCAGTCTCCTGCTCTGGAGCACAAGTGGTGCTGCTCCATACCCCCAGCTGTGCTCAGCACTCACCCACCCCTCTCCTGGTCACACATACCACCATGCTGCAGTGTTGCGACTAGCAGCCAAGCAGGAGCCTGTGGGCTACATACTGTTTAGGAGCTGCATGTTGCCTGCAGGCTATCATTTGGACAGCCCTGATTTAACTCGTAATGATTAGTATATTTCCTTCTGTACTGGGTCACATATTATCTACCTGGCCTAGATGTTAAATTGATAGGCCTGTAATTAACTTGGACCTCCCCTTGTACCTTTTTTAAATGCTGGCATGGCGTTAACTTTATTCCAGTTTCCTGGATTTATTGAAAATCAGCCTTACCAGTTCAGAGACAACCTTGGCCATTCTTTAAAACTTGGATACAAGTTCTCTACATCTGCTTATTTAAAATATCAAGCTTGAGAGGATGTTCAGCATCTTCCTGTGTTACTATTTGAATGGAAAATAGTTAGTTACTGTAAGATGTAATGTATCATCCATTTTTCCTCAAATACAGAGCAAAGCTGTTGAATGCAATCTGTCCTGTTTGCATTATTAACAGTTCTACCATTTCTATCTAGCATAGTTATTCTTTGCAAACAAAATTTTTCAGAAGTAGAGGAGTTGGAGACAAGTGACAGGAATAATTAGGGACCTGAAGTGAGATCAAAACAATTGCAATTAGGTCAATTTTTGTGATGATCTAAATAAGGAGGAGGACAATAAAAATACACAAAATTATTTGTATTTAGAAGGTGGATCCAGAGCCACCTGCTAAATATCAAAACAAGGTGTTGAATGAGACTGAAAGGTGGCAGCTAACTCAAAAAGGGTAAAAAAAAACTACTTCAGAGTGTATACTTAGACTAATAACTCATTGCTACAGAACATTGTTGAAATAAACACCTTACTAAGAAAGAAATATCAGTAATTTTTATAGATAAAAATCTATAAAATGGGAGATGACCTGGTGAGGGGGCTGCGGGTGCTCAACCACCTGGGCGACAGTGATCATCGCTTGCTGGAATTCACCATCCAGCGCAAGGTAGCAAAGGCCTGCAGCAAGGCAGCAGCCCTAGATTTCAGGAGGGCAAACTTTAATGAGCTAAGGAGAATAGTCAGGGAAGCACTGAGGTCCCAGAGGGGAGGGGAGCCAGGTGTCCAAGGAGAGTGGTTGTTCCTTAAGGAGACGATCCTCCAAGCCCAAAGGGAGGTAATCCCAACAAGGATCAAAGGGAGCAGGAAGGCACACAAGCACCCATGGCTCACCAAAAGCATGCGGGAATGTCTCCTAGCTAAAAGGGAGGTGTACACCCAATGGAAAGGAGGGGCCGTCACCAGGGATGACTATACTGCAGTTGTTCGGGGATGTAGGGGGGCAGTCAGAAAGGC